TAAGTTGATGAGCCATTACTATGAAGCTATGGGAGAGTTATCGAGCATCGCTTGAGAGCAATAACGCGGGTCTCTATGAACCAATTTAGTTTCATGCCCGGAAGATCAACCATGGAAGTCATTTTCTTAATAAGACTAAGTTATGGAACGGTATAGGGAAAATGACCTACACATGGTTTTTATTGACTTGAAGAAGGCTTATGATAAAATACCAAGGAATGTTATGTGGTGGGCTTTGGACAAATATAAAGTCCGAACGAAGTACGTCGGGCTCATTAAGGACATGTACAACAATATTGTGACTAGACTTCGAACAAGTAATGGAGACACGGATGACTTCTCGATTAGGATAGGACTACATCAAGGGTCAGCTTTGAGCCCTTATTTGTTTGCCTTAGTGATGGATGAGGTCACAAGGGACATACAAGGGGACATCCCTTAGTGTATGCTTTTCGCGGACGATGTAGTGCTAGTTGATGAAAGCCGGACATGAGTGAATTAGAAACTGGAGTTATGGCGGGAGACCTTGGAGTCCAAAGGTTTTAGACTCCGTAGAACTAAAACTGAGTATATGAGATGTGACTTCAGCACTACTACTCGGGAGGAGGAAGATATTAGTTTGGAAGGTCAAGTAGTGCCTCGGAAGGATACCTTTCGATATTTAGGATCAATGCTACAGTTAGACGAGGATATTGATGAAGATGTTAGCCATAAAATCAAAGCAGGGTGGATGAAGTGGCGGCAAGCATCTAGTGTCCTATGTGACAAAAGGGTATCACAGAAGTTAAAAGGCAAGTTTTATAGGACGGTGATTAGACCTGCAATGTTGTATGGTGCAGAATGTTGGCCTAGGAAAAGACGACATGTTCAACAGATAAGTGTCGCGGAAATGCGTATGTTGCGTTGGATTTGTGGTCATAAAAGAAGGGATCGAGTTCAGAACGATGATATACGGAATAGATTAGGGGTAGCATCAATTGAAGAAAAGCTTATCCAACACCGGTTGAGATGGTTTGGACATGTCCAACGGAGACCTCCAGAGGCACTGATGCGTAGTGGAATCCTAAGCCAGGATAGTAACGTGAAGAGAGGCAGAGGAAGACCAAAGTTGACTTGGGTAGAGACAATAAAAGGAGACTTGAAAGGATGGAATATACCCAAAGACTTAGCCTTAGATAGAAGTGCTTGGAAGACAGCTATTCACGTGTCTGAACCTTGATTGCTTCTTTGGGTTTTAACTCTAGCCTACTCTAACTTGTTTGGGATTTAAAAGGCTTTGTTGTTGTTGTTGCACGAAACAATCTTTCGATAACACGTATTTCCTTCTGGTGGTAACTGAGATGGATGACGAAGGGCATAAGAGTTTGATCCTTATGGAGAAAGGTATTTGTGTGGCTTCACAGTGCCCAACAAAAAACTCAAACAGGGATGGAGCTCAATCGAGTGAAACCTTTCCTAGAGGATTGGTGACAGGCTCTGTTGAGCAGCAGCATATACATGGTTGAGGGTGAACTGAATTGGAACGAATGGAAGGGCAAAGCTGACGAGGATCTTGCTTTAAGATGTGTACTGCCATGTGTGGACATTTGAGAAGGGTCCAAGGTTGATGGAAAACAAACCTGCCTGCTCTTATAGCAACTTTTCCCTACAGTCCTAGTTCAAGGTTCAGAACATTCTAATCAAGATCTTTCCCTATGGCTCATTTCAGCATGTAATCCTCGCCTAAATTAGGGCCTCGTTCACTTTGAATTTTTTTTTAACCCGATGAATAGTACCATTTTCGTCTTATTTGGTAAATATTATCCAATCGTGGACCAACTAGGCTCAAAAGATTCATCTCGTGATTTCCAACTAAACTGTGTAATTAGTTATTTTTTTACCTACATTTAATACTTCATGCAAGCGGCTAAAAATTGATGTGATGGAGAGAGAGTGAAAAAACTTGGAATTTGGATGGCATCTAAACAAGGCCTAGGCCTAGATAATCTACCAATCTCCCTAATCTGTATAGGGTTCATTTATTGCTATGCATTGCGATGTTTTTTCTTCTCTGTTCGGCCACCATGTTCTGTTTTGACTTGAGCTGTCAAAATATTGACCAATTATTCCTAACTGTATGATAAAACATGAATGCTGTGTAAATATTGACCAATTATTCCTAATATAGATGTTCTGTTCTGAGCTGTGTATATAGGTGCTGTGTAAACATGCATGCCGACTCAATTTTGATGCTTCTGCGCGATGCCAGAGCAAAAAACAGGCGCGTGGAATCGATACGGGTGCGGCGGAGCGCGCCTACGATCCCAGTGTCTTGGAGACCAGTACCGAGACCAAACCAAAACAAAGGAGTTGCGATTGGCTTGTTGTTTAGCAGCCTTTTTGTTCGTCCAGGTAGTAGTAAATGGCATGATGAGTTGAGTTCGGCAGTTGCAACTTTAATGTCGAATCAAATATAGTTTCTCAAAAGTGTAACAAAACATCATATGTCCTGATCGCTTGGCTGATAAGTCATGGCTGAAATTATTGTTGGCTGATTTGTTGTGAAAAAAACTGTTTGTTGGCTGAAAAAGTATAGCTTATAAGTTAAATGAACAGGGTGGAGTCTTCTAAAGAAATGAAACAATCCACTAGCCACATAATTGCACGAAAACCTTGCTATACTACTCCATCCACCCTGCTCAGGACATTTGAGAAATCGAACAGTTAGGTTCTAGATTTATAAAAAATAATATCAACATTTGTTTATCTTAATAAACTTATTATGTTTCATAGATATTAGAATTTTACTTGGTCAAAACTATTAAAAAAGGTTCCTCCTTGAAAAGCAAGAGGTACATTGTTTTCTTTTTTTGTCAGTGAGTAGTAGAAAAAGCAAAGTACTAGATAAAAGAAGGGTTTTTTTTATCTTGATCATTATAGCCATGTTTGCTTGTCTTATAATCCATACTCTTCGGTTTATCTTTTCAGTCGGAACAATATTTTTCTTTCACAACAAATCAGCCGGAACAGTGTTTTAGCTTGTTTTTTCAGCGAAGCGAACGGGGCTTATAATTCTTCGAGTTTTGAGAAACGCTATTACAATTCGTCTATTCGGAAATCTGCCATTACAATTTCATCTCTTCCACGTTCATGCCATTTTCTACGGCTGCCGCGCACAAGGACCCACCGTCAAGCACGTATACGTACACGAAGGCATACATACGTTAAGTCCATGGCTCCTCGTCAGACCAAGACGGCTGTCGAGCGACAGCCGCCGCGGACGAGCGCCGCCACTCTGCCTCCGCCCCCCGTGGAAGCCACCAACACAGGAGAGGTGTGCGTCCTCTCCATCGACGGCGGCGCGCGGGCGGCCGACAATCTCCTAGCTGGCGCCACGCTGCCGCGACGCGCCGACAGCTCCGCGGCGAGGCTCGCGGACTTCTTCGACGCGGCGGCGGGGTCCGGCGTGGGAGGCGTCCCACATCTGGCGGCCTACGCTTCATTCACGTCGCGGCGCTTTCTTCGCCGTCACGTGCGCGGTCGTCGTGGCGGATCCGCGTCGGCGGCCTCGCGCTTCGCGCGGTTTACCCGATCTCGGCGCGGTCTCGCCGCGCGGCGGGCGGTTTGCGCGCGGAGATACGGTCGCTCGCGGCGGCGCGCGTCGATCGCTTGCGTTCGAGAACGGACAGCTCGGTCGCTCTTGGCGTTCGACGCGCCGGCGCGATCGCGACGACGCTCGGCAAAGCGAACTCCTCCACGAGCAAGGACAAGAAGCTCCACAGGCCTGGACGTGCTCTCCACCTGCTCCGTGACGTCCTACACGGACCACGGCGGCCGCGAACTCCTCCAGCGGCCTCTTGGCGTTCATGGCTCGCCCACGCCGGCGGGCGGCGGCAGCGCCACGCGCGCTGCAGCTGCGCCATGCGGCGAGAGCCGCTTAGCACGCAGACCGGGATCGGCCGAGGCGGCGCGCCACGGGCTGTGCTACTTCCACCACGATCATCGCCCGCGACGACGACACCAGATCCTGCAGGCCAAAGGCCAGAGCGCCTCGTCACTCGCACGCCGGGCTAAGTAGCGCCCGTCGCTCTCGCGCTCCGTCACTCTCGCGTGCGGGCCGCCACGGGCGAGCGCGGCTGCTCCCCCTCGCGTCGCGTGCAGGCTATGCCACCACTCCGCTCACACGCAGGCGCTCGGTCTAACGGAGGAGACAGGACCTTAGGTCCGTATGGCTTCTTGTACGCCTATGTGACTGACAGTGGACCCTTATACGCGGCAAGCGTAGAAAATGGCATGAACATGGAAGAGATGAAATTATAATGACATATCTCCAAATAAACGAATTGTAATGGTGTTTCTCAGAACTCGAAGAGTTGTAATGGCCTGAATCCAAAAGAATGTTGGCTCATTCGGTGCAACAGAAAAAGATACAAAATTGACCTTCCATAGGCTATCTTGCCTCCTCTAGCGCCCACAATGACAGCCAAGATTCCAGGCTAATTTCACTAGCTGATTTCTTCCTTGGCATGTTTGAACTGCATTCATTAGGTGACAATTTTAACCTCACAAAATGCATATCAATCACAAGGAATCATCTGTTCGTCATGTGTTATCACAAGCACCCATAAACAACCTGATCACCCAATAGAACAGATTAAACATGATATCAGCGCTACTAACCAGAATCACACCATCACAAAAGAACAAATCACAACAGGAGTGTCATCCTGGTCACAGAATCACACCATCACAAAGATCACATCGCAACAGGAGTGTCATCCTGATCACATAGTAACACATAACATTAAGAAAATGGTCATGATAACACAGCCTAACACATGGCAGTTCCTTCACAGACATTTCAACGAACACAAGGCAGACACCACCAAGTCGACCAACTAGATCCCAAGTTTCCAACCAACAGACAGGAATTAATCAACAGAATAGCGACGCCCCTTTTAGAGATGAAAAGGGGACTAGGGTTTTAAACATTTCTGGTCGCCACCCTTGCCAGCAGGGGCTCACTTGGGCAGCATCTGCGCGGCAGCCGCCTCCTGCTGCTGCTGGTAGTTGATCGGGCGGCGGAAGAGCATGATGTGCGGCTCCGGCCGGTGGATCGCGTAGTGCACCCACCCGCGGCTCTGCTGCACACCGATCGCGCGCCACTCGTTCTGCACAGAAGAAAAGGGAAAAAAACCCCACAAAAACCCAAACATCAGATAACCAAAGCGACAGGACGAGAACGCAATCTACAGGAATGCAGGTGAAACTGCAGGCGTTTACCTCTGAGAGGAGGCGGTTCTTGGGGAGGAGCTTGGCGACCTCGGGCGGGAGGACGACGTGCCTGCGCGGAAAAAGGGGATCCGGTTAGGGTTTTGCCAACCACCGCAGACGAAAGAGATGGGGAAGGGCGAAGATCATGACGGCGAGGGTTTCGCATCTACCTGTACTCGTAGGTGTCGTCGAAGTACTTCTCGGAGTACTGGATCTGACCCATGTCCACCAACACTTCTCGATGAACTTCCTACAGAAAATCCCCAAAATTTCTGCGCAATCCCCAGACAAACTACCGAATCGGGCAGCAAAAAGATCAGAGCCACGATTCACAGAGGAACATTTCGCGTACAAGACGAGAAATCAAAGGATTTGGGGGGTGGGGAGGCGACGAGCGTACCTTGGAGCGGTTGCGGTTTTTGCGGATGAGCGCCGACACGAGTCGCAGCGAGGGGAGCGTGTTGGAGGAGACGCTGTGGGGGCGCTGGGAGACTGGGAATGGATGGGGAGCGTATTTAAATTAAAGGAAACGGAGGGACCCGACCGTCAGTGCGGAGATGGACGGGCGAGATGGCCCGGGCCGGATAGGGAAGTAGTCGTTGCAGTTGCGGGATCACGGCCGACGGATGCGGTGGGCTGGATTTGCGTTCAAATTAGGGGCAGCGAGAGCGTGGATGGATGGGAGGGAGTTTCGAATTTTGAGATCGCGGCTTGGCGCTTCCTAGAGCCGATTTGCCCGTTGTTGTTGGATAATACTCCTCTCTCTTAAAATAGAAGTTATTCTCGCTTCTCGAAAGTCAGCTTTTTATAACTTTGACTAATTATATATAAAAAATATTAATATTTATAATACATAATTAGTATCATTAGATAGATCGTTGAATGTACTTTTATAATAAACTTATTTGGAGATAAAAATATTACACGTATTTTCTACAAATCAAATCAAAGTTGAGAGAGTTTAACTTGCACGCATCCTATAACGTCCTTTTTTTTTTGGGACAGAGAGAGTACTCGACGAGCACGAATATGGAAGCATTTTTTATTCACTGCTTCCATTTTGTTCCCATGTAGTAGAAATGAGTCCAACCTAGCAATTTAGCATGAAAACATTTCCCACTGCCCGTTGCGATTTTCATGAAATGGGTCTCGTATTTATTTGTTTTGAAATTAAAACCCTACTATAAGTTGTGAGATTTGAAATCGGAAGAGTTAAGCACACTGTCGGTCCTTAAACTTATGGTGTTGTGTTATTCTGGTCCCCAAATTCTCAAAACGGTCGTCTAAATCTCTAAACTTTGTTCGGTGTCATGGTGGTCCAAACGGGTCTAACCCATACCCATATGTGGGGGGCCACCTGTCAGTTTCATCTTCCTCCTCTCTCCCCTGAGCTTCCTCAAACCTCTCTCCCGAGCTCACGGGGCGACGCGCCCAGGGGCGGGGACGGCAGGGCTAGGGGCGCGGGCGGGCTACGCGGACAGCCACGCGAGGCGCAGGCGTGGGGAGGCGCGCGAGGCCACGGGCCTAGGGAGGCACGGGCGATGCGCAGTGCCGTGCGGTGGCGGCCTGCCGGCGCGCCGGGTGGTGCGGGCGACCGGCGTTGGGCCGCGCAGACGGTCGGCTCTGGCGGCGCGAATCGGGTGCACACGCACGACGGAAGCTTGCAGAGGGAGCCGCGCGGGGCCGGCGCGCCCAGGGGCTCGGTGACGCGGGTGGCCGCCGTCCACCGGTGCGAGGCGCCGGTCGCGGGGGCCCAACCGCATGCGTGGAGGCTGCGCGAGCCGCGTCGCAGGAGGCCACCGCGGTGCGTGGGCTCGGTGCCGCGCGGGGTCGCTGGTCGCCTGCTGCAGGCATGGAGGACGCGAGGGGCCGCGCGGGGTCGTCGGTCGTAAGCTTCCTGCCACATGCGCAACCGCGAGCCCTTCATCCGAAGCCATAGCCGCTTTTCACGAGCTCACCATCGCCATGCTCAAGCGCCTCAACGGCGGGCTCCACACCCTTGGTGCTGTACACGTCCATGCGTGCGCGTGGCCTCCGTGTCGCATGCTGCCGCCGCCGCGCGGCTACGCGTGGTGCCCCTGCCCCCGGCCGTGCCCTGAGATGGAGAGGAGAGAGAGGTGGAAGATGGAGATGGCATGTGGGTCCCACCTATCAGCGACCCCGTTAGTGACAGTGTAGACCCGTTTGGACTATTTTGACACCGAACAGAGTTTAGGGACCTCAACAATCCTTTTAAGAGTTCGGGACCGGAACGACACAGTACAAGAAATTTGTGGACCGGTAGCGTACTTTAGTCGAATGGGAATGAAATTCTTTGTTGCTCCTATCACTCATCAGGAGTATCTTCCACACGAAGCAACCCAACTGTCACATGCACCACGTCACGGCCCGCGGGCCCCTTTCCATTTAGGTTTTTCCACGTTATATATGGAAGGAACTTCCTCAGGAAGCTTCGATCAGGAAGGCCTTAAATTTGTTTAACAGAAACAGTTCGGATTCTAGGCCCAAATCCATCAGAGTTGATTGAGTGGACTGAAGCCTGCAAGTGGTGTCCAACTTGCCTGTCCCAGGGCCCAAACACTCAGTTGGGCCGAGCCCGCTTATAGTCGCTCCTGTGCGTGATCTGGGAGAAGCCAGTACACTTTTACAGCGCCGTCTTCAAGAAAGGAACGGAATCGGAAAGACCCAAAGATGCAAAAACTCTGCATTTTATGATGCAAAGAAAGTGCCATGTCGAAAGAATGCTGCTACGACTGCGACGCTATCAGAAAAACAGTGAAGAAAAACATGGGACGAAGCCAGTCCAGCCAAGTGTGAGGTGAAGTAAACAACCTGACAAATGATGACATTCCTTTCTTTATTCCTTTCTTTTTTTTTTTGTTCCTTTGCAGCACCAGCACTTCACGGACGTTTCTATTGTCCATCAAAATCAAAGGTTAAAGAAGTGGCGGCGTGGCGTGCCAATTCATGTGACTCTTATTTTAAACCCCAAAAGGGGGCAAAAGGCAGTTGTCCATTTTTCTTTTGCAGGATTCTTTATAGTTCCTTGATAGCAACAAAGGACCTATTGCTTAGTTTGGTCTGTTCGCTTCGCTGAAAAGTCAATCAGATTAAAAAATACTGTTAGCTGATTTGTTGTGGGAGAAAAATATTATACGATAGCTTATAAGTTCAATCGAACAGGGATATCAAAGAAAAACCTGCTTTTAGCATAGTTTACAGGTAGACTTCGGTACTGCAGGTCCGCAACCTACCACCCGGAATTGCCACCTTTCTTTTTTTGAGGACAAATTGCCACATCAACTTGTTATGTATGTACGTCCCCACTAGCTAAGTGCTCCAGCTCACAAAGCCCATCCAAATATTTGACCAACATCGCCAGCTCATGATACGTGGAAATTCGCGAGTTTCTGAGCTCGATCCACGCAAATTTTTGAATTAAATACAGTTATCATTCCCTACCGGATAAGGCTTGACAGAGAGCGAGATCGATTATTCTCGCGGAGGCAAAATGGGTTCCACTTCCAACAAGGCAAAGCGACGATCGGATGAGAATGAGATCGATTGCTACTGCTCAAGCATGTTATTACGATCGGGATTGAGATTGGATCAGGTGATAATTTAAAAGCATGGTCTTGGCTCTAAACTGCCTGCTCCGCAGTATCAACACATAATTTTTTTTACACCATAGAATTAAGACCCAACAGCCTCCACCCTTCTTCTACCTTTAGCCTCCACCCTTCTTCTACCTCAAACCTTCTTCTACCTCCAGACAATCACAAATCACAAGATCACAGATCCACAGATCACAGCAAATATTTTTTTCCTATGGAAGGACAAATCACAGATCGCAGAGGAGGAGGAGAGGCCTACCTGGAGCTGGAGCCGGATCCGCCGCCGGCGCGAGCGCGAGGAGGCGCGCAGGCGCGGGCACGGGGAGGCGCGCCGGGTGCGGGCACGGGCACGGGCGCAGGGGTGAGCTCGCCGGTCGCCGGAGCCGGCGCCGGTGGTCACCGGTGAGAAAGAGAGAGTGAGAGAGAGAGTCGGGTGAGAGAGAAACCGGTGAGGGGTATTTATGGGTTCGTTATGACATGTGGACCTCATTTGTCATATATAAAAAAATTCATGTGTTTTTTTTTTACTAAAATCATATGTGTTGTATAGTATTTTTGTATTTTAAACATGTGGCTGCTCTGACTGTAGAAAGCCATGGATGAGGTACATACGTCCTGCATTCACGTCAGTTCAAGTGTTTAGCAGTTGTGGTGAGTGGTGACACTTGTAGTGTGTGCGGTGCAGATCTGAAAGGTTCTGTACCGTGGTGATGCATGTGACGAGGGGAAGCGTACGGCAGCAACAGGAGGAAGGAAAGGAACAAAAGGCGAAGAACAGTGGAGCAGCAAGGCAGCGGCAGCCGAAGATTAAAGAAACCTTGTGGATATGGTTATCTCCCGCATATTAGGCCGTGTTTAGTTGGCGAAATTTTTTGGAAAATGATATCGTAGCACTTTCATTGTTATTTGGCAATTACTGTCCAATCATAGTCTAATTAGGCTTAAAAGATTCGTCTCGTGAATTTTGTCTAAACTGTGTAATTAGTTTTATTTTTATTTATATTTAATGCTTCATGCATGCGTCCAAAGATTCGATGTGATGAGAAATCTTAAAAAAATTTGCAAAATTTTAGGAACTAAATAGGCACAGTATACTCGTTGGGATAATCGTAATGTAACTAGAGGTTCTCCTAATCCTCCCAAAAAAACCAAATCAGTTCTCCTAATCATGGAGCTCGCATATAGTAGTCCTCCTAGCAGTACCGGACCGTGTCAGTGATGACTGATGAGACATCAGTGGGCTAGTGGTTGTGCGCCCGGCCGGCCGGCGCATGGAGGAGCACGGAGGCATCGAGAACCCGTGACGCGCCGAAACGAGCAGAGGAGCAGTTGTCGGCGGATGCCGTGTCCCCATCCCCGTCGTACGAGCCGGCAGCGGGAAAACATGGAGGGGATGGTGGTTTTTGTCCAGGGCCGGTGCCGGAGTGGCGCGCCGAACCATCTCGCCTCGCCGTCCTTTGAGGAATTGTCGAAAGGAAGGAGGTCTGGTTTCGTGTGGTTGATTGATGATGCGTGTGGTGGTGGTGCCGTGCATGTTGTTATCCATCCATCGGAAGAATCTCGAAGGGGCAAATGCGTTTCTTGTTCCAAGGAGATTGATTGATTGATCTATAGGCCAGATGATATCTCGGCGTTGGACCCTGTGGGTTTTGTTTCAATTTCAAAAAAAAGATCATTTTTTAGTGAGACAGGTAACGGCCGTGAACAGGATAGCTGATACAAAGAAACGTCCTTACAGATACTCCTAGGACTAGGACTAGGAGTAGCACAATTGCCAAAAACAAAAAAAAAAATGTTTGAGGAGTGTAATTCAGCTCTCCAAATGGTTCAACGACTATATATGCCATCACTAAGCTCTGGACAAATTCTAGCTGTGTCCGGACCACTGCCCTCACTAGCCGTAGAAAAGATCAGCAGCAGCACTGCAGCGGCGTGGAGCACATGTTGTGATGGTAACCGGGACCCGGGGCCAGCAGCAGCGATCGACGACGACGACAGGCACGCACAGGCGGGGCCCCAGTCAGCTAATCCCGGCAGCCCAATTAGCGGCGAGGGGTCACGTCGCCGGCGCCTCCTAATCCACACGAGCCACGAGTACGCGCCGGCGCCTCTCTGCACGCGTGGCTCGCGGACAGCTCCCCGGCCGGCGCTTTGCCTGAGCTGGCGCCGCAAGCGACCCGCTTCCGGTCGCTGTCTCAAAGCAGCGCTGGAATCTTGCAAGAATCCCCCAGCATCCGCCGAGCTTGCGAGATGGTTAAAGGCAGACTACACTGGTATGGACAACGTTGTTACCGACCATGACTCTCCAGGGAAAAAGAACAAGATTTTAGCATTTTTCATGCAAGACGATAACACAGGACAGTGGAGAGACATGGCCGAAATGGCGAAATTTTCGTCTGAAAGCTGACTCGGATAGCCCAGTATTTATTTATTTATTTATTTCTCTGGTTCTGATGACTCGCCTTGTGCGTGGCTTAAAAAATAATAGTGGCACCTACACAAGAGGCTGTACCGAGTTTTTCTTATACCTTTTCTAGTGATGATTGATGATTCTTTATATTATCGTATATCGTAACCATTCATTCCAATCTGTACCACTCCCTCGTTGATCCCCCCATACTACAGAGCAACATATCGTTACATGTAATATTTCTTTTTGTTATCACTTGGAGTTTATTAATGGAGTTCCCACGTTATTCGGCATGTTCGTTGGTTGGTTTCTGTGTTGATAAACCCGGCTGGTGCTGGTTTGTTGTAACTTGTAAGAGGAAAACATTGTTGACTGACTGATAAGCCCTGGCTGAAACCAACAGGCAAACAGACTGATTGTCCCAAGACGCATTTAAAAAGGGATAAATCATATAATTCATAAAAAATATTTAAAAGATCTAACCATCGATTCAATATGATCTAATGACGATTAAATGGTTGATAGAATTAGCTAGATGATATATTTATTTCCTAGAAGAATTACCAAAAAAAAAAAACAATATAAAGTAATCCCTAAATTTACATCTATTTACCGACATATGCTATTTTAAAAACATGATCTACAACAAAATTGCATCTAACTTACCACTTACGTTATTATACAAACTAAACCAAAACAACCCCTCGGGACTACATCTAAATTACCAACAAATTCTATTAAGTAAATTCTTCTAATTGGCGATGGTGGGGAGACAACGGTGTCCAGGCCGGACATATTGAGTATCCCGGCGGAAGGTCTATGCAAAAGAAACGATCGTGGATTATAAGCCAGAAGTACTGCTGGCTGGTTTGGTGTGAAAGAAAAATATTGTTGCAGCTTATAATCCACGATCGTGTAAGCCGAAACGAACAAGCTAAGTTTGTTGACGTGGCGTCAAGTTTCTGTTATGCCAAAGTAGCTTGTTTTTTTTAGAGGTTTCCTTTTCTGGGAGCTTAGTTTTCTTGAGTTGGAGGTAGTGCCGTTATCAGTGGATGTTGGAACTAGCTCTTAAAACTGTTTTCAGATGGCAGTACCATCTGCTGCACTGTAATAAGGTACATTGTCTGTTAACTTTGGTTGATAGACGGGAGCTCGACCCCAAAATTCTATTAACATATATAATGTCAGCACCATTGTCCATCTTCAATCTTACCTCAAGTTTTATTGTTGATTTAGAACAACTTGATAAAGGATTAAGTGTCTGTTTATGTCATCTTAGTAATCAAGAGTGCACTCTACAACCTAAAACCCTTTTTTAATAGAATACAAAGTGGAGTTCTGAATAAAGGGTGCAATTTGTAAAGAGTTTCAAGTTAACTCAAGAATAAAAAATATAGCAAATTAATAAAATTAAAATTTCAAAACTAACATATGATTGACAATGTGTCACGAGACATGGGCTAAGCTAAGTATTCAACTAATGCGTGTAGACCGTGGAGCTCCGGCCGGCTCTGGCTCCTTAGTGGACCATAGCAAGGACCTGTTTTTATCCGTTTTGTCAAATGAACAAGAGCTGGTGAATACATTTTTTTATTTAACTGTTTCGGTGTTTTTGTAAACCAACGAGTGAATTTATGTGTGTCAAATGAACAAGAGCTGGTGAATATATTTTTTTATTTAACTGTGTCGGTGTTTTGTAAACCAACGGTGAATTTATGTGTATCGCGCTGCTCTAGGAAGGCGATGGTAGCACTCAAGACATAAGGAAATTATACTGGTTTAGGCCGGAGCCCTACGTCCAGTCTTAGAGAGGGTAGCAAGTTTGTGTTCCTTGGTTCAAGTGCTCTGAGATCTAACAATGGGGGTGTGTAAGCTAAAGGATTCGAGGTAGGAGGAGTCAAGTGAACGAAAGCCCGAATGGAGTCTCCGAAATTTTGTCCCCTCGAAGGGAGGCCTGGGCACCCTTATGTAGAGTTCGGGGGCCAGATTACAGTGGAGAGATGAGTTCTCCCGACCCAAGTGGTCGAGAGATTGAGGGAGGAAGAAGCGAGTAAACTTGGCCAATAATCCATCCTGTCTTGTCCTAGCGTCATCGGCTCATCGCACGTTCAGGCATGGTCATCGTCGTGGTCGTCATGATCCTGCTCCCCACGCCGTGGCGTGGCATGGCGTTGTGCCATAGTGCCAGGCGTGACGACACTGTTGGCATGGCGGTGGTTCACCAACCATCCTGTGCGACATGGTCTTGCCGTGGCCTTCGTCATCGTCTCCTGTTCTACTGGTGGTATCATGGCGACAGTGAGGGAGCAGGTGTCTGCTCTCGGGTTGCTGATCGCCCTTCCGGGTCGTGGCGTCGTAGACCTTGACCCTGGGTTGCAAGGTCGAGGCTGCCGGTGGCTTGGTTAGTCTCGTGAAGTCAAGGCCAGGATCGAGCGACCCATCCCATAGCGGGTGGGGCTGTACGCTAGTCTTGTCAGGCTGAATTTGGACGGTGCAATGCTGTATCAGCCGTCACCGCCCCGTGGTGTTGTCCTGTCTGCGCAGGGGTGCTCAGGGATGGCGTCTGCCCTGAGATCCCGTGTCTCGAGAGATGGCCGTCTTGGCGAAGTGAGCGGATCATGCTTGTCTCTGTCAGGGCAAATGTACTTGGTGGCGTCCGGCCTCTCCCTGTCCTTTCCTAGGGGTCAAGACGGGGAAGAGGTCAAGCGTGGCTACGTAGCGTGCGACAGAAGAAGAAGAGAGTGGTCATGATGGGCCACGTGTCTTGACGTTCAGCCCGGGGCCTGTGTTGCTTAAGTGGGCCAAAGTTGCTAGGCTTTGGCTAGCTGAACCGCCCGAGCGGCTAACCATTCGGTGCCTTGATATATCCGTGGTATCTTAACCTTGACAAACCAGCTCTGGCTTTTTCCCATACTGCATAAGGATCCGAAGTCGTGCTAAACAGGTCGTAGTGAAGCCATACAGAGGCACACATGTAGAGGGAGAAACAATAGATATATTATGGATGAAAAAAACATACAAAGTACCGATAAGTTTATAATAAACGGATAGAGATTACAAAGTATATTTATATATGTATTGTGGTGAAAATTAGATAAAAAGAGACATTACAAAGATTAATTTTTATTGGTGGTAGATATTAAACACCAACTTATAATGTCAGTGTTGCTTAAAATTCTAGTTTGTCTGTTTGTGTAGGGCTAATACAATAATTTTAAAGAAACAATATCCACTTGATCTCTCTAGAAACTTCACCCAACATGTTCGCTTGTTAGTTTTAGTCAGGACTTATCAACCAGCTAACAATATTTTTCCCTTACAACAAACTAGCATCAGTCGAACTTATGATCTCAGAAACCGACTAGCGAACAGACAATTTGGGTGTGCGGTAAATACCCCAACTCCGGCTGCAGGTGTCACGACTCACGACAGTGTCACACTCAAACAGCTCATTTTCGCCGCTAGAGAAATAGCCCTCGCGTTCCAACCCGATAGGCGCGGGGAGACCGGCCGCTCCCGGTGGCCGCCCAGCCGGGTCTGGCCGCAGAGCCGCATGCCTGCGCGGGGTGTGTGTATATATATACCACCTCCATAGCATCTCTTCCTCACCACCGCATCTCTCACACCCCTGAGCTTAGCTTAGCTCCACTCCAGCTCCAGCTCCAAGCAGTCGTGGTTAGAGCTAGAGGGCCGTGAAAATGCCGATCAGCAGGATCGCCGTGGGGACCCACCATGAGGTGTACCACCCGGGCGCCCTCAAGGCGGCGTTCGCTGAGTTCATCTCCACCCTCATCTTCGTCTTCGCCGGCCAGGGCTCCGGCATGGCCTTCAGTGAGTCCTCCGCTCCTACTCTTGCAACACAAGCTCGATCGGCCCTCATCTGGCCTTCAGTAGTTTGTATTTCACTTTCCACTGACTGACAAAACATGGAGTATTATTAGATGAACATAAAACGAGCAGCTAGCTAGCCTGTACAGTACATGAGTACTTAATTAAGCTCAGCTTAATCTGTCATGCTCTAGCACAAGTCATGATCGTCTCCTTGATTCGTCACTGAAATGAAGGGAAAAAAGAAAAATCCTTTTCGTCATAAGGACTAGCTATCAGGCTTTCGGTAGATTTTTCTAATACAAAGCCAGTGTTAACTAGAAGCTCAGAGAAATGTCTTTTAAAAAAATTCAAAGTGAGGATAGCGAGGTCTTTTAGCTGAAATGACTAATGCAAATGACAGATTTAGACCTGGCATGAATTTAGAGCTGCAGAAGATAGGAATCCTTGTCAGCATCTGTAGTACCTTCTATTCGAGTTACTAGCCCAGTTCGGCTCGTTGAATCTGGGTTAAAATTGGTTGAAAAATACTATTCTAATTAAAATATTATGAGAGAAAAATACTATTCTAACTTTAAAAAAAAAACCGGACAGGGTAAGCCGAACGGGCACCCGATACTCGTTCCGATGTGCTGCTACTCCCCAGAACTAGCAAAATGCCCCACCATCCCACCTCCACTGACACGAACGCCTCCTGTATCCTGGAAAAGAAACATGCAGTAGTTTTTTTAATGATATCAGGAAGAGGAGAATACTGTATCAGACAGTGCTTAATACTAGTTCAAACTGATCCGCTTAACTGGCAAAAACCTGCATAAACCCCCATCTTTATACCTGGATGAATCTCCTTTTAATTAGCTAGCGCGGTGTTGAACAAATCTGTTTTATCAACATGCTAATCACAGTAGTAAAGCAGAAGGCAGAAAAAAAAGGGAAATCCTGAACATGTTTTACCTACAGTACTTGTCAGTATCTGAGTGTGGACGACGAAACACCTGATGAGATTTGACTGTGTTAGTTTTACTGATTCCCTGCTGGTGCTCCTCCTCGCGCAGGCAAGCTGACCAGCGGCGGCGCGACGACCCCCTCGGGCCTGATCGCGGCGGCTGTGGCGCACGCCTTCGCGCTGTTCGTGGCGGTGTCCGTGAGCGCCAACATCTCCGGCGGGCACGTGAACCCTGCCGTGACGTTCGGCGCCTTCGTGGGCGGCAACATCACCCTGTTCCGCGGCCTCCTGTACTGGGTGGCCCAGCTGCTGGGCTCCACGGTGGCGTGCTTCCTGCTCCGCTTCTCCACGGGCGGGCTGGCCACGGGCACCTTCGGCCTCACGGGCGTCTCCGTGTGGGAGGCGCTGGTGCTGGAGATCGTGATGACCTTCGGGCTGGTGTACACGGTGTACGCCACCGCCGTGGACCCCAAGAAGGGTAGCCTGGGCACCATCGCCCCCATCGCCATCGGCTTCATCGTGGGCGCCAACATCCTGGTCGGCGGCGCCTTCACCGGCGCGTCCATGAACCCCGCCGTGTCCTTCGGCCCCGCGCTCGTCAGCTGGGAGTGGGGATACCAGTGGGTGTACTGGGTCGGCCCACTCATCGGCGCCGGCATCGCCGGCGTCATCTACGAGCTGCTCTTCATCTCCCACACCCACGAGCAGCTCCCCACCACCGACTACTAGGCCGGCCGGCGGCGACCCCCCCCCCAAGCTTGGGTTCCGTTCTCCGTCTCCGTGAGCAGCTAGCAGATCATCAGTTCTCTCTCTCTCTCTCCTCGCCGTTTAGTTTCTTTCGTGCACGTGCATGCAGCGTCGACCATCTCAAGCTGCTGTTGCTGCGCCGGCGCCGCTCGCATCGTTTGCTTTCTTGGATCAGTCTGTAACCGTGAATTCCGGACCCGTTTGCTTCTGTAATATTTGCGCATTTGCCTGAGGATTCACCGAGTTCCACGTACTAGCTCTCTGTAATACTGGAGCACCTCGATCTGCAGCATGTGTTGAAAATCTGGGATGGTTCTGCTCAAATCGCGATGATTTCGACGGGGATCGTCCGTCGTCTCGTCGTCTACTCGTCTCCCCGCGGGGCAGGCGTGCAGCGCAATAATGCATCGCCATGTGCGGACAAGCGGGATGGTACGCGCGCCACGTCGGAATGGTGTGGCAGAGCGATAAGGCTGACCTGTAGCTGTTGGCTGGACGTGGACCGGCTGTCGGGCTCGTGTTGCATGCATCATATCCATCGCGATGCGGAGCCTCGTGCAGTATGTCCTCCGGACCTGCTCTCGCTCGTAGTACCCGTGCAGCCGTGCTCATGAAATGGCGACCGATCGATGGCGAGTGGTGGTGCCAGTGGGCACCGATGGTCCTCCGTGGATGGCATCTACTCCGAGTAGTAGTAGCTACAGGACGGGTGGTTGGCAACTTCAACTTGACATTGACTGATCCGATCAAGTCCGTATGAAACAGTAACAGATGCTCTTCACGGTCGATGACCAAGCTATATAGTACAGAGCCATGTTCATGCTACACGTAGCAATAGCGTGCACTCCCTAGTGTATCCAGTAAAATATACGCTGTGGTCAGTGTTGGTGGTTGCAAGCAACTGAAACTAGCAGACTAAACTAGTTCAATCAGCAGCAAGCCAAGCAACAACTCCCGTCAACAGATTGACGACGCGCGGTGGATTTGACGCAGCTCTCGTCTCGGGTCGTCCTGCGCGGAATATGCCTCTCGGGCGGGCTCCTACAAAGGCAGGACGCAGAGAGGACTGCCGTGTGGCACATGACATGAGCATGTCAGCATGTGGATCCTGGATGGACAAAAATTAGCATCCTTTTCCTTAACATCGACATTCTACTCTTACTGCTGCGGTCCAGGTTAAATAGTTAAGGACCACTGATGAGTAAGCAAAAACAGCTAATAATTCTGTCTTGTTTTCTTGTCTATCTCGAAGCATGTCTTGTGTGTGCGCACAAAATTCAGATTTGGGACACGCGAAATCAAGCCAGCCTGGACTTTGTTTTGAATCCCGAGCAGAATGATCCTTTCTAGCGTGTCACCGAATTATTCGAGTCGTAACCACTGATATTTTTGTAAGCGATTGGACCACACCAGGGACCAGGCAAGTCGCTGTCTGCTTAGCCTAGCCATTATCTCAAGCCGTCCTTGCCTGGGCTACCTTACCACTCGATCGAGACGCGCTCAAATCAATCGGCGTGCTGGGTACATCCCTTTTGCTTAAGTTCTGGACAATTATGATGTGATTGCTGGCAAATGAGGTTGATTAGGAGGCGCGATCACGCATCACGCGAAGTACAGTAGTACGTCGACGAGGAGACTGACTACCGCGAGATGGAAATGAAATGCTGCCGCGCTCTTCCGCTGGTTCGAGTGACGTCTCGGCAGCAGCCGGCCAGGAGAGCAGTGGAGGAAACGAGTGGCTGCGGCCTCGGCCACGGGTCGCTCTCGTGTGGTCGGCGCTGGCTGATTTGCTCGCGCGCACCGGCCAGCCGGCCGGCCGCCCCCGTCGCGGTCATCCGGCCCATCGATCACTCGATCCTGTTGCCGTTTCGCCGCGAAAGAAGGGATCGGTCTCGCTGCTGCACAGCAGCGTCGCGCATGGGCATGGCGGCCCGGCCGAACCGCAATGGCGCAACCTCGCCGCTGATGGAAGTATGGAACCCAACGATAGTGAGTGCATCGTATCACACGCCCGTGCGTGCCGCCTTGGATCGATTTGTCACTGGAAACACCAAGTGGCCAAGAGGCACTCGATCGAGCCTAGGAGTATTGACTGAGCGATGAGGACGTGCAACGCCATCCTTATTTGGCTGGTGACAAGCCTACGCAACGTTGGAAGAGTCAGGCAGTGACTTGCAATGGATGTCGATAGTGTTCTTGTCCTGCATTCAGTACGTTTCCCCGATCTGTTTATCAAGGTACGACGATATTATATGTGCCGTCTGAAGAGAACCGGAGACGATCATGATCCATATATCTAACAGGTGAATCATGAATGAATTTATGATGCTTTCGCTAAAAAAATAAACCAAACACCATGCTCCAAATTTGATTTGTTGTGAAGAAAAATTCACATAAAAGATAGATTATAATACTGTTTATGCTGCAGGCCACGGAATTCACATAGATATGCCTGTTTATAGCAGGCCGGCAGCTTTGTTCCCTGTAGCACTTTTTCCTCCATATAATAAACATACGTCTTTCCCTCCATGTAATTTGTTATAAGAAAAAAAATATTATTAGTAAACCAAACGAACGACGCAGCATGAATCTCAAAGGAATAGGTGTATTTGGAAGACAGGAATATAATAAGTACAGTACAATTTTATTCCTCTGTTCTCGTGAATAAAGAGCTGTCCATCTCTTCGTTCAAGCGTAGGCAAATTTTACAAGAGCACGAAATGGATGTTTTGTTCCCTCCATTGCATATAAGCTAGGCTTTCCATAGAAAAGAAAAACTTCATTCCTCCAATCTAGACAAGCCATGAATTTGTGTGAAAACAATAGTACGGGCCAGATCCAGATCATAGCGCCCAATGCAAGTATATCGATTACTGTCAACAACTTATCACAGGAGCACTACATGTTCAATCCCCATGTTGGACAAGCTACTGTTCCAAATTAATCTGCCCACTGGCATCTTGCGAGTTACTACTACTACTAATTAGTTCTAGTAGTCAGTCAGCACACCGGGTGTCCCAACGTATTAGGCTGTTATAGGTCCTGCCACTGCACACTGTCTTCACCACATGGCCGATGCAGCAAGCAGCATGCATGCTCATGCTCTACGCCTCTGGCCCGAACTCTGAGACGACCGTGCTAGCTAGCGTCGCGTGCCGCCGCTGGACCAGCGGAGAGCGGAAATTATGGGCGGGCCAGCGTGGCTACAGGCCCACCCACTGCATGATTCCCTGCCGCGACGCTTCAGATCGGTGTCCAAGCAGGCAGAAGCAAACGTCGCCATAAACTCTGCCTCGCCTAATCCGGGTACACCCGCGCGTGGCGCGCCCATCAGGCCGGATCGGGGCCAGCCATTCCCCACGGTGAACATGAACCTCTTCGTCGTGGATCGTGGTCTCGTGGAACGGGGACGGGACAGCGCGCTGATGCGTCGTCCAGCTCACTGTTGTTCTGGCCTGTCCGCCTGTGCGCGGATGACTCCTGATCGACCTTTTTTCGTGTGCGCGGCAACTTGGGTGCCAACACGGGGACGCCGGGACGGGGCGGCTGTTTGGGCGCGTCTCTGCTTGGAGCTTTCCTGTGTCTTCAGTTTTGGCTAAGTGCAGGCTAGCGCATTTGCGAACAGAAAGCGGTTTTGTGGCGACGTCCCTTTTTGCCTTGAAGTGATTTCAGCAACAGGAACACGAACAGGTCACGCATCACGGACGGCATCACTCCTCTACTAGTACTCCTCCTGCCCATGTTTGCACGGTCCAGTTGATTTAAAATCGCTTCTTCAGAGAACGAAAAAAAGGCCACGGAGTCGTCTTTTTCCTGCACAGTGGCCAGTGACTGTGCGCCTGGGGTTCCTTGCCTGAACCCTGAAAAATAAGTGAATGATCTCAGGGTGTTGATTTTTTTTTCAGGCGAAGCGAAGGCACACACACATGACACATCCACTGGTGTATTCATAACTGTTGTGATGGTGGTGAGGGTCAACTTGATCCGGTGAAGGGTACCGGGCCGTCCTTTTTCAGCGCGCGTCCGTGCAAAAGAAAAAATTGAAGCGGCAAAGGTTGATGCATGCATCGTTGCGTCACATGCATTTCCTTGGGTGCCCATCATGCCTTGTCATGTTGGTTGCTCACGAGAACAAGCAACGCATGTAGTAGACGGAAAGCCAGAAACATATGTTAGCCGTGAGCATACGCACAGTTGAAATGACGTGAAAATGAAATCCAAATGATCAATAGCAGAGACAAAGCTGCTGTAGCTTCGAGTCGAGGATCTCTAACCTGAATCATGTAGCCAAGCCAAGTGATCCTGGAAAGGAATCATCTTTCCGTGGAGGGAGAGCCTGAGAAAGCATGTGATGCGGCTCTGTCACACCACTGTGTCGTACAGTAGGATACCATTCGAACCTAAAGATAATCCTCTCAAAGAAAAATAATCTCTACGTGCTAAGGCACGATTTTTTTTTGAACACTGGCATACTGTTCAAACCAATGCTCCAGTTTCAATCACCACAGACAATGGTACAGCTAGCACGAAATGGACATGTTAAATTCAAACTCGGTCCAGCTGAGACAAGAACCGACTGTACATTCAGAATGTGGATCAGCCAGATTGACATTACTTCACATGACTGTGGGGCTTCCAGAGCTAACTACAAGCCCTGAATTATGTACCAGCTATACACTTCCACACATACAACCAATGAAGTGATCAGCTCACTGGATCTCGTTACAAGCAGCAAACCAAATTGCCACGTCAGGGAACAGAAAAAAAGAGAGAAAAGGCCTTTCTTCTGTACAGATCAATTCACACCAAAACCTCAAGTGGTTAGTTCTCCCATCACTCGCATTGGCTGTGCCGCTGAGCATTTAGATACAACTCATCTACCAACTATACACTTCCACACATACAATCAATGAAGTGATCAGCTGACTGGATCTCGTTACAAGCAGCAAACCAAACTGCCACGTCAGGAAACAGAAAAAAAG